CCGTTGCCTCCCGGCACGAGCCGCGCCTTCCCTCCCCCGCTCCCCCCCCCGCGCTTCCTCTCCGGCGCGCGCCGATTAGCATAATAAAGCCGCCCCTTTCTCCCCCGCCGACCAATGGGAGCCCGGGAGGTCTCCTCGCGGCCTATAAGTAGCGCGGGCCGGGCTTCGGTCGCCTCAGAGCGCTCGGGGCTGTTGTCAGAAGGAGCCGCTTAGCGAGCAGCTGACGGAGCCGCCGCGCTGTGGGGACTCGCTGCCATGACTCTGGAGGAGATCCACGGACAGCAGCCTGCGCCCGTGGGCCACGACTGGTACGTGCGGGTGGCGGTGGGCCGTGGCGGGGGGCAGTGCGCAGCGGCCGGTCTCGGGGCGGCGGTGGCGGTGGTGGCGGCGCCGCGCTGACCCTGTGCCTTCTCCCGGTCCGCAGGATGCAGGGCGCCGGCACGGCCCTCCACGACCTGCTGGTGTCGGCGCAGCGCCGAGGCTGCCTCACCGCCGGCGTCTACGAGTCGGCCAAGCTGATGAATGTGTAAGTAGGGCGGCGGGACCGGGGGAATGTGCTGTCGGCCCGGCGGGGCGGCGGGGGTGGCCGGCGCCGGCCGCGGGGCTCATCGAGGCGCCGCTTCCCTCTTACAGCGACCCTGACAACGTCGCGTTCTGCGTGCTGGCCGCGGACCAGGAGGACGAGGGGGACATCGCCCTGCAGATCCACTTCACCCTGATCCAAGCCTTCTGCTGCGAGAACGACATCGACATCGTGCGGGTGAACGACGTGGCCAAGCTGGCGGCCATCGTGGGGCCCAGCGAGGAGTCCGGGGAGCCGCGGGACCTGCACTGCATCCTCATCACGGTGGGTGTCCCGCGGGAGGCGAGCGCTGTCCCCCCGCCGCTGCCGGGCTCGGCGACAGCCTGTCGGGGGCGGCCCCTTCGCCCGCGGCTGGTGGTCGAGTCCTCTTGTGGGCACAGAAAGGGCGCTTGGCACACAGACAGGCAGCTGAGTTAGTAGTAGTAGGAGGAGGCAGCACTTCTCGTAACTGAGGGTTTCCTCCGTTGTCCACAAGGGCAACATCTCTGCTTCCTGCCTTGTCTGTGTCAGGAGAGAAACTGTCTGGAAGTGCCTGGCATCCTAAGCTAATGCTTCTGTAAATATTATGCTGACCTCAGCTAGCGGGCAGCACTCATGGTGTGCAACTTTTTTTCTTTCCGGCAGAACCCGAGTGAAGAAGGCTGGAAGGACCCAGCTCTTGAAAACCTGAACTTGTTTTGTGAAGAGAGCCGAAATGTCAATGACTGGGTGCCAACCATCACCCTGCCCGAGTGATGGTGACCCGGTGCACTGGGGAGGCTGAAACCTTTGTTGCATTCTCAACGTGGTGTGGGTTCACCAAACTGCGCAACAAGCTGCTGATTCCATGGATTAGCCTGGTCAAGAGACTGGATTAAGGTCCCTCAGACTGGCATGCAGTGGGCTCTTACAGAGGAGAAAGAGGAGAACAGCTCACCTCACCAGTGAGCCTCAGTAGGCTGCAACCATGGAGAGGCTGACATACCATGGAACTGAAAGAAGTATTGCAAGTTTGTCAGCCATGTGGAGCTGTTTCAGAAGGGAGAGAGAAAGTCAGGGGAAGTGGGCCAAAACTTTCCAGAAGGACTGGATAGAGTTCTGGAACTAGGAACTGTTGGTGCTGTCTGCAAAACATGCAGGAGAAAGTTTTCAATATTTGGTGGACTGCTGGGGACTGGTTACTGAGACAAATACAGAGATTCCAAAGCAGACAGACTTCAACAGGCCTCTTGGGTCACTCTGCAGAACTGGTTTAATAATGCAATAACTTTTATTGAAATATTTGCTGCTATTGAAGCTTTCATAATAAATTTTTGACAATTAATTTCTGGGAGTGTCTTGCTTGCTGGGTGGGGAAGCATGTCACTGAAATACCACTGATGCTTTGCTTGTGTGCTGTAGTCAGAGGTATACTCCACAGTAATGGAGCTATTGCTCAAATACTGTCCTGGGCTGGCTGAATGAAGTGCTGTGCTGTCCAAGTTGATAATTCAACCTTTTACCCTCTTGCAACAGCTGCTTATCGCAACAGCTTGCAAGACTGAGGAGTTGCATACTTAATGAGCTCACTTATTGTAATAGGTGGTCTTTGTAGTCTGCTGGAGGAACACAATGCATGTTGGAAACATGGATTTTTGGAATACAGACCTCCAGTAAATTGCATCATTAGTTCTTAAATATGACTTAGATGCATTTAGAGCTGACGTGTTTCCACTTAACAGAAGCAGCTTAAACATGATGGGGGGGGCTGTGGAACTCCTTAGATGTCAAACACATCTAACATTTGCTTTGATTAGAATGACATCATTAAATCTAAAACTAGCAAATGGTGAATAAACATCACATCTGCCACAAGCTGCTCTCTGATTGCCATATGCTGTAACAATAGAAGCTGTCACTCCAGAAACCAATTTTGCAAAACCTAATTGCATGACAACACCAAATTAAGTCCAAAACAATTTAAGGACGAAGTGGCCTTTTTTAGAGGTCCTGTCATGGAAAGTTAATATGGGCAGGCTGATTTGGCCCTGTGTTAAAAGGGAAAATATCACCCCATTTTTGTGCATAAACTGTACGAGTGCTCCAGGACTTGACGTTAAAATGGCATAGTAAAGACCTCTTCTCCAGAGAGCAAGAAAACTAAACTACTCACTTCCTTTATAGTCACAAAAAATACTCAGTTATCACAATTACATTTCCTTTAGGCTTGGCTTGCAGTGATTGACAGTAGCATTTGCTGAAAAGTGGTCACTTCAACATGGGTTGTCTTGAGCAGTTGTGGTTTTAGGGAAGTCACACAGAGAAGCAGGAGAATGAACAGCTCTGGCAGCTGTGATAACAGAAACTGCCTTTAAGGCAGTAGCCTTGATACACAGAAAATGTAAAGTCTGGGTGCTTTATTACACATTTTTATATTTTTTTTCTTAATAAATGCAGGTTTCTTCATTTTGCAGCCAAGAAATATATTTCTGTTCTTTGCCTGGGGCCTAATCAGTACTCAGGGCCAAGAACAGATTAAAGTGTACTGTCCTGAAATCAACTTTCCTGTGAAATATAGGCAGTACTTTACAGCCTTGAGTGGTTTAAACAAAAGCCTGAGAAGACCAAAGGAAGTTCTCAAGCATGTATACAATTACATAGACCATTAAAGTATGGCAGAGAGAATGCATAACTGCTCTGTTTGCTGAGACAGTAGGCGTAGACAGTGGTAACTGGTAGAAGTTTAACTTTCCAGGTTTTTTTGGAAGAAATGTACTATGCAGCAAACAATGAAATTAGTGAGACAACACCTAAAACCCCTTGTGGGAACGTGTTCTCTAGTGTCTGAGTAGAGAGGAGCGTGATCTTCGCCTTACCATCACCCTTTTCAAGCTGTAAGCTGTGCCCCGCGAGAGGCACGTGATTTCTTATTTTAGTGGCAGGTACAATTCTCCCGAAATCCCTTCCAGACCAATGCAAATGCACTGTAATGCAAATAGTACAAAACTGAATTAGCCTGCAAATGTTATTAATACGGAGGTGCAACCAAAGACAGCTGTAACTTGCCAGTTACATGCTGCTGCCAATATCTGTAATGATCACCTCGACTTAATGTAGCAAAAATTCAGCAGATGGTATCTACATCTTTATGTACTCAGCTATATAACTGTGCAAGGGGCAACTATACAGTTGTTAAAGGTAGACAGTAGACTTGAGTATTGCTGACTGTAGTGGGGACAGCTGCTTGGGAGATGGTTGGCTCACCAGATGTCCAGGATGTTTTCTCAAGTACCTGAGGGATCTGGAGGTTGGGGACACTAACCTCTTGTGTCAGTAAGCAATGTGCCCTGAGTACTTTGCCTTCCCAGGAAACAGAAGTACCCAGGAGAGAGACACTACAGGTTTCCAGGACTGCTGGGAGCTCTGCTGAGGTGCCCACATCCCAGCTGTGCTGCATGGTCTTCAAGGGCTGGCTTGGTTTGTGGCATGATGGGCTGTGTCAGGGGGCTCTGGGGAGAAGAGTGAGGTTGATATATTTGTTGATATAAAAGGTGGTTCTGCAGGACATGATCCAGCTGAAGGACATGGCAGAAGCTGCAGGACTTGGAGTGGAGTCACAGAGTGGTGGCACTTCTGGCTCTGCCGTCCATCAAACCTTAAACCTGTGTGCCACTAGGCAGTAAAACCTGTGTATTTCAGTATTGTAATCATAGACATTCATGTTGTGCTGACCACACTTCTGAGTACATTTTTTCATGAAATGATCCATGTGGTTTCATTTTGGGTTTTTTGAGCAATGGGTTTGTGCTTCTCTGCCTGCGTATCTATTTCACCATCTAATAGTACTACTGACTGACAGGAATTTCCCCTTGCATGTGGTTTCCTTCTCTTAATTCTGTTTTCCTCCTGTTGCACTTCTGTGCATCACTTTACTTTTCTCTCTTTGTGGTTGTAGATGATGATCTCTTCAGATGCCAGATTGTTATAGTATGTGCTGTATTAACTTACTTACCATCTTACCAGGATATATATGTATGAATACCAACACACAGTTGCTGTAAGCAAAGATTTTGCTTTTCTGTTGAGTAGGAAATACAAAAAGGAAGATAACAAAGGCTGTATTACAAAGAGACGGGCAAACTGCTGCACTGAATACTGTTAGCATAAGATCTGTGCATATGCTGCATGTTATAAACAGTGCTTATAGCACTGGATGCTCAGGGAAGGAGCTTAGAGTTCTGCAGACTGGGTGAGTTCTAGTTATAGGTGGAGGCTGTTTGACTTAACATATGTTCTGCAAGGAGAAAATCTTTGCAAAAACGCTGGTGTTGGAAACATGCCATAGCACTGCTGTCTGTTGTGTGAGGGAGACGTGTCTCATATCAATAAATCTGTTTACTCCAGCCCTCAGGTCCCCTGGCATCAGGAGGAAAGAGCAGCGTGTTCCCAGGTTAAAAGATGGCAAATATGCAGACAGGATCTTTCCAGTGGAAGCAAATGCCATCACATGTGTGTGCAGGAGAGATGTGCAGAGAAGGATGTGTGTGAGTGTTGTATTCCTGGTGGGGACACACACTGTGGACAGCTGTGCTCACGAGTATTCATCCACAGAACAGGGGCCAGAATCTTAAGACTGGCAGGGGGATGGAGCTGCACAGACAGCACGTGCACCTCACCACAGCCATCCTTTCTACATGTTTTTGTGAAAACTGCTTTTCATTCCTGCTTATTCCTTATTCATTTCGTTATGTCAGGTATGATTTACTCACTTGGTAATGTCTGAACATGCAACAATAGGATATTGTAAAAAACTGAGTTAATACTTTGTGTATAATTATCTTATGAGTGAATACTCCTATTATTCTGCATTGTTCTGCAGTAAAATATCTTTATACAGAACATTCAGACTATTGGAGTGTATGTGAAATATTAATTTGAATGTATTGGTGTCTTTAAAAGTATAATCAGATCCCAAACATCACAGTTATAGTGATTATAATATCTCCTCCAGTCTTCCAGTATATTGATGTATGATTATTCTACATGCTTATTTTCCTTTTATGCCTGGAAATAACACAAAATTATTTTCTTCTGTGTGTCTAATCCTCTCTGTAGAGCTGATTTTACTTTGAAATCATGACTTTGCAATGTCAGTGAATCACTGCTGATTCAAAACTAGTTTGTGCAACTGTTGTTTTTTTTTTTTTCCCCTGCTTTGGAGAGATAACTATAGAGATATAACACAAGGTTTACTTACTGTTTTTATGTTTCCTGTGTGCTACAACTGAGATGTTTTGTTTTGTTTTGTGGTTTGTTTTGTTTTGTTTTGTTTTGTTTGTTTTCGTGGTTTTTTGGTTTTTTTTAAGAAAGTATGTTTTAACTCTTGGTAGAAAGTCCTAGGTGCTGTAATCCATTGCAGAATAGTGACAAAATTTAACAAAGAACATGCAACATGAATTTCAACATCAGAAGGAATTTTTATGTCCCATCACACCACGAAGTAAGGAATTTTCTGAGTGGTGATTTTAAGTTTTGCTTTCTACTCCCTGTTTGGGAGTACCAGGCTACAGCAATTTACCTTTCACATCCTACTGAAGCCAGCACAAAGCAGTGGTGTTTAGTAATTTCTATTTAAATGCATAAACAAGTAACCAAGGCCCAATATTTCAAATTTTTGTTTCAGAAACAAGATGCCTACTAAGTACATTCCGACGCCGATATGCTTAACTGTGAGCCCAGAATTAAAACTCTCCAGCCAATCAACTTATTTAGCTGCGTAGCCATAAATTTACTTGCCAGACTTCAGGCTTGTCTTCTCTGCTTAAGGATGTGTTACTGTGTGGCACAGCTGCATTAAGTGTTTTAGCTTGGATTGGTTGAGTGGATGGAATGAATCTGTGGATCTTCTCCTGCTAACCTGCTTTGGTTCATATGGCAGAACAGACTTGGAGCATGCAAACAGGATTTTTCTTGGAAAAAAACAACCCAGAAGACATACTCTAGGGAACTCTCTGATGCTTTCCAGCTGCTATTGGGCATTCAGTTCACGGGACCACACTTGAGGTACATTCAGACAATTATTTGCTGATTAAGAGTAAATAAGCAAGTCTTGGCAATCAAAGAAGAGAAGTACTTTGGCCTGCTTTTCACAAAATGTGTAATACACATACCAATTTGCTTTAAACAAATGCATGCTTTTGAACTAATAGGTTTAAAAATCTGCTTTGGCAGCAGCTTGCCGAATTTAATTGTTTCTGAGGCAAGACCGACTAATGGAACTATTTCTAGAAGTGTTGCCAAAGGTATTTTTTGTAACGGACCGGCACCGTCCAACTGGCAGCGCTG